TTTTAATTTAAAATTCCAAAGCAGAAGTAGTATATCATTCGAATCATTTAAACCTATAAATATAAATTTTCAGACAAGTAGTTAATTATTTTAGTAGTTTAGAACTTTATAATTCAGGCTTAGATGAGCTGAGTAAAACAGGGTGCCCTGTAAAATGTCGTCTAATACTCCGATATTCCAAACTTTTAATGCTTATAATTTTTTGTGGATTCAACTGTATGGTTATTAATCAGAATTGCATGTTTAAATGTTCTCACATCATTAAACTAAATTAAATTACATTAAATTGCTCAATCGCTATTAACTTTTCAAAATAATTAATGCACACGATCGCCTGGTAGAGAAGATGTATTGAATATGGATTTGTACATACAATTTAAGCCTTGCTTGATGCGTACCTAGCTATCAGTGAATTAAATGGATCWTACAAGTGTGGTATGTCGCTATAATCCAATTGATTTTTAAATGTTGCGTTTCTATAAGCTCTGAAATGTTATAATCAGTATGCTGTTATTCGCGTAAGATGAATCATCTCAGTTATGAGTGATCGGTGATCTCATATTATCTTCATATCGATAAGATATAATATATAACTATTATGATATACTGTAAAATTATAATATATTTAGTTAAACATCTAAGTTAAATTGTGGTATACCTATTCTGACTTATGGTGTAAATTTTTAAGTTTTTAAAAATAAAATACATTTTTAAAAGTATTTGATTTTTGATTTTTTTTTTTTAATTTATCGCCATATCAAATTCGGTAAAGGTCGTTTATACAATATAAGAGCTACATATTATCATGAGAGCAATTAATTTTTCAAAATTTATGTGATTTATAATTTTAARCAAAAAAAAGTTATGCGTGAAAATGTATTCTAAATTAGGTAGTAAGTGGGATCGACTATTCTACTAATATTTGTATACAAACATTATAATCTTGGTATTATTTCATTTTTATCAACATTTTTTTTATGTCATAAAATATTTTTTTTCATCGAATTATTGTAACTTCTTAACACCATTGTACGGTTTATACAATGAGATATCATCACTGTTGTACGAGTATTACATGCGACTCAATATAACGAGTGTGAAATCGTTATTATCATCGAATTGTGCTTCTGCCAATATTATTTTCATAATAACACATTATGTATAATATTCTCACAGTGACAAAATAAATTTGTCTCGTATAGGAACACTCATTACAAAAAATATGAAACACAATAAATATACAATATCATGTATTTTAATTTTTAAATTATATATATATTTCCTATAAAACAAACGTTTTATTCCATAACATAATGTTTTTCTGTTCTCGTAATATTATTTTGCATTCATATTATTATTTTAAAATTCTTATAATATACGTCTGAACGTAACAAATGTTTACAAAACTAATAATTAACCAACAGTTTTTATATTTTATTATTTATAATACTTAATATAATCATATATAATTATTTTTACAATTGACTACATGTTTGTTTATATTTATAATTATAATATATTCAGTATAATGACATTATTATTAGAGGTAAATATAACCTTAATTTTGTAATAGTCTAATCATTCATATTATACTATTATCGTTATCTATGTTTTTCATTATTATTATATTAATCAAACGACCGCTATGGAGTGGTTAGCCCTTGCCCCTTGGTCACTACTCAAGTGGTGTAAAAATACCTTAAAACTTTCATCTACAGAGCACTCAGTTAATTGTATATAAACTCATTAGTAATTATAATAATACTTACCTAACAAAGCTATAAAATAATTTTTTTTTTTCATTATATGAACAGAAATAGTATTTAGAGTAGAAAATTAATTAATATTATATTTAGTTTTATGGCTATGTACATAATTGTAAGTAATAAGGACGGTCTTCTCAAAATGAAAAATTTTGTACCACTTTTGTGAGTTTGATGTATATTAAAAATTAGTATAATATTTATGCCACTTATTTGCCCACCATCATTTTTTTAATCAGTATTGTAGATTTTATCAAAATATTTTTGATTTTTTTTTTATACCTAAATACATTTTTTTACCGGCAATATTTATTCGTGTATTATAATTTCACGAAACACATCACATTTTAATTTATTATTATTGAGTATTYGAAAGAAGTTACATATTTTTACTAACAAAAGTGAGTATCTCATATTATGCCTAAATTTKATCTGTATTTTTTTTGTTTTATTGAATCTTTTATAACAATTTCAAAAAGTATTTTCGAAAAAGATTATATAATTATAAAACAAACAATTTCGAAACAAATACAAAAAAACTGATATTGAAATTAAAAAAATGATGGGTTCGTTCCGACGAGGTGGCTAATAGATTTATACTGTCATTTATAATATCTTTGAGAAATCCGTAATTTATTATATAGTTAAAAAATAATCTTAAATAATTTATTTAAAAATATTAAACCTACAATAATATACTTAATAAGATTTGACATTTATTTTCATTTCTAAGTCTATCACTTTTTACAATATATATTGAGCACTTTTCTAATAATATTGACTTAAGTAAGATTTAAATTGGCACAAAAAAAAAAAAAAAAATTACAATTGAAGGGCATGAAATAAGATTTTAAAATAAATTGCTCAATTAAATTTAACGTTCTGTAGGCCGTTAGTACGATATATTATTCATAAGCTACAATATAATATTTTTGGACGGAACTACCTACAAATAAAGCTAACTCGTATTATATATATAATTTTTCAAATAAATAATATATAGATATATTTATATAAATTATAAATATATGTATACATTTATTCTCTATAGATAATATACTTTTGTAACCATGTTTACCTAAACCAGTCAAATTATAAAAATTAACCCTATATTTATTTTTAATTATTATAATATTTGTATTTTATAATTATAATCAAACATGGTAAATTTCACAACAAATTTAGCATACTTTATAAATTTAAATTCTAACAGGAACAATATATTCTTAACACTTTTCAATTTGCAGGCCCAAGAACAATTTTTTTTTATAGGTCCTATTCGAAATTTTTTTCTACGCGTAAACAGAAACAACAATAATAATATTATTGTCTTAAACAAAATTTAACTAATTCATCTTCAGCAATTCTAAAACATTAATAAAACAAATTTATTGAAAACATTAAATTAACAAAAAACTTAAAACGATAGAAGCTAGTAATCACAATATGCTAAAAATCACCCGTACGAATCTACATAGCACGGGACATACCTACTAATAAATGACATTTATTTCTACACATATACGTTCAATTATTACCTATATAATTTTAAAAAGTAATAATACAATCTACATCACTTTCAAAAAAAAATAAAACTTGGTGACAGGCGTCTATCGCTCTGAGGAGATTTAATTCGTTTTTATAACTTATAGAAGATGAATACATAAATTTTTGCGAAATTTCGGAATTGAACACAAGAAAAATGTTACTTATTATAAATAAGTAAGTTTGTTTTGTTTTGTTTTTTAGTATTAATTAATTTTATTACGGGTACAAAACAAACCCCGAATAATCATTGATTATTTCTTGTATAGAATTAGATCGTCGAGTCAAATCGTTTGAGTAATTCAAGTGCAATTTATCGTGCGATCGCCTTAAAACAGCACATTTGACAGGTGGTGTGCACTAAAAATGAAGATGAAAACCWMGTCGGTAGTGAGTATATATTTAACAAAGATGAAAACGATTCGTGTTTAAGCGATATAAGTCAATCAAATCGTCGTGCACATGACGTTTCAGAATTTCCTTATATCTATCCACTAATTAATGTTTCCGTATAATATAGTGAAATTCAATTTAAAAAAAAAAACAAACAAACAAACAAACTAAAACGAGAAAATAGAATGAAAAATACAAATGAGTGAATCTGTTTCCCATTCTATGCATCTCGGGCATTGAGTCACGAAAGTCACTACGATCTAATAGTATAATAGCGGTAATGTCGTGTCGTAAGTATCTATATACATTACAACTTTTTCTTAGCACTACAACAACACAATAATATATTAATTAATTAAATAATGTCCGCGTCGAAAGTTTTATAATTATAATATACTACGTTACGCCTTACGCGGTGTTTTAGGTAATAATATAAACGTCAGTATAATAATCATTGCGCGCGTTCGTCGTTAGATTTTTTTTTTTATTGTAATAATATTATATTGGTCCCGGTCTGAAAAAACCTGCGGCGCCAACGATCGTGGGGTGTGTATGTGTGTACGAATGTTTGTGTGTGTATGTGTGTAAATGGGCGTAACCAGACAATCAAACTAGGCCAGAGCGTAGGCTTATAAAATATTATATTTTACTACTTTCGATAGTCTTGATAATATATTTTTTTCGATAATTTGTATGTATGTTGAGGTTTGAATTTTATTTTTTTCATTTTTTTTTGAGGGTCTGAAAAATATAAAACCGCCTATCACTCACCCCCCGCTTAGTTAAATCACTGGTGTGTCTAATTGTGTGACACGGCCATAACGAAATAACCGTTCTTCCGATGATGGGGTTAATGGTATTATCATATATTTTTAACAATTTTCGATAGCCCATATAATATTATTTTTTTAGTGATTTCAATGGGCTCTGAGGTTTAAATTATTTGTTGAGAGATGTGACAAGTCCACCCCCATACAACGTTCCCTAGTTACGCCTCTTGAGTGTGTGTGGGTGGCTATGAGTCTATGTGTGTGTGTGTGTGTGCATTTTTATAACAATATAATGTATTGTATATGTATTTTAATAATAGTCTTATCAGGAACGAGGACCCTGTCAGAGAGGTGTCAAGCTCCCTCCGGTTCACCGGCCGCCCACAAGCAACGATGACGAGCCATTAAAGGTACTGCTCTTGTCCGTTGCGTCCGCGTTCATCGGACGGGCGATCCGTCGTCATTTACGTTATTATATTTTTTTTATATAATATACTATAATAATAATCATTATTATCTCTCGGTTTCGTTTTTTTTTTTTTTTTTTTGAGATGAAAAAACCGTCCGTTCACAATAAGTGGCATAACAACAGTAACAATAATAATTTATAATAATAATAATGATAGATTTATAATTTTTTCTTTTCGGAAATTGCAGTTTTCGTTTTTGTATCTCCAATTTCCCCGTCGTCGGCCGTCTTCGTTCTTCGCCATCGCTGCATGCTATCGTCGCCTTGTCAGCTACTACGTGACGGCCGCCGCCGCTGCCAGCGCCAGCGCCGATGCCACCCACAACAGCATCTGAAGTGGCAGCTCCGGTCGACCGCGGCCCGACGACGTGTCGGTCAGACTGTAATCGGTGCACAGAGACTCCTCGACAGCCAGCGGAACGTTTTCGACGCACACCGGTCGCTGGGTGTCCAATGTTTCGCCACTGTCACCGTTGCACATCGATGCGTTTCGAACGCACAGACCGTCCGCACAATGTTCGTAGCAGCATTGTTCGGTCACGTCCGTCGCCGATGTCTGGAACCATATGTCCGGATCTGTACGGACAAAAAATATCCAAAACAGTTTCTTTTTAAGTATCGTAACCCCCTGCACCAGCCTAAGCGTTAGCAATTAGATAGACAACCACACTTTAAGTGACCTAATCGAATATTTTACAACGGAAACCAATCTTATAATGTTTAATAGGAAAATAACAATATAATATTATCATCATAAACTATAWATTGTACGTTATTTTACCACGTCGGTATTAAAAACCCATTACCTTAATTTATATTTCAAGCCAGGTAGCTTGCTAGCAAAATATATATCGTAAACTTCCTAAACTGGCTTACATAATTATATTTACAAAAAATATGGTTAAAATAACTACAATATGATAAACGAAAACAAAATTAATTTATTACATAATATTTTATTATAGTATTTGAAAAGTACTATGTAAAATTTAAATATATTATTAGGCAATAATGGTATTTCAAGTAAATATAATATCTATTATAAAATCATTGGTGTGATTTTTTTTGAAGTTTCACATTCACCTCGGAATTTAAAGTATTCAAACTGATTATAGTCAAGATAAAAATGTTCTTAAATCCTAATACTTCAAACAGTTTTAGCAAAATCATATTTGATGTAATCGAGTTATAARGACAGAACAATATTATTAATGTAGGTAATATCTTACAGCTTTTTATAACTATTTCCAATACGCAAAGATAGTTTTAGCACATCAATATGTATTAATTTGAACGTTGAAACTAAATTTTAATTGAAAACAAAAATGTATTTTATTTTAATTAAATTATTAATAGTTCAAAAAAAAAGTTTTAAGTTTGAAAAAAGTTTAAGTTAAGTAAGATTTATGTTTGATTTCGTAAAAAAATTAAGTTCAAGTTCGTGATCATTTAAGTTTGACCTATCTCTGAACTATGGTAATATACCTATTAGATAAACTATTAAATTTTACTATTATTATTTTTTTCAAAATACAAAAAGGTATAGTTCTTTTTATTTTGTTGAAATTTTAAAATACCTCTTTTAGATAATTATAATTTCCGAATAACACATAATATCATAAWCAATAATATTTAATACCAAATATATCAGTAGGTATAGGTACGTTAAAGATTTGACTTATATTTTTATCGTAGGGTAAAAATCAAATACTTCATATAAATATGTTGATATAAGATAAACTATGGTAAAAAAAATATTCTTAAAAAACAATTACTTCATCAGTTTTTAACCCAATACTAATAATGTCCCATTTTAAATTTTGATAGTAAAAATACATAATTTTTTACTATTAATTA